GAATTGCCGACGCGCTGCTGTATGAATGAAGTATTCGACTCGACGGAAACCGAACCGAGCTAGCTCGAGTTACATAACTCGACTCGCCCATCGCTGGCGAATCGAGCGTGCTCCGAAGGTCACAGAACCGATCGAGTCGGTTCGGCGGTGCGGGTACCGAGTTAGCTCAAGTTCCGAGTTGACTCGTTGTAGGAGTAACTCGAGTTAATTTAGTTAAATAACTCGACTCGCCCATCGCTATAACGGACTACGACCTAAACACACTTCGAGGCGACACGTGCCCAGCAGTCACCCTGAGACATATTGAAAATCCCATGTGCCTCTAATTTCACCAGCATCCTTGGCGGCAGAAATAAGTAAAGTGGCAGTACTTCCCTATAAAACTCTACTTCAGTATAAAAATTTCGTTATTTTTCCTAATACCACTATTTTTCAAAATCTACAAAATATGGTATATTGTGTTTAAACAATAAAGTTACTTAAAGTTTGAAATAAGAGAGTTTATGAACTCGTTTAATTTTTTAAATACATTTACACAACATAATCAATGACAGACTGGTAAACTTAGACTCGAGACACTCGATATTAGCGTCTAGTTTGTGTCTACAGAATGTTTCACTTTGGTTAATGTGCATTTAAATAGGATCAAAGTTCGTTTGTGTACAGCGAACCCGGATGAGTGTCCTCTTAACCTCTGCTTTGTGTTCGTTTTATTAGCTTATATATTGTTCGTTTCAGCCGTTCAACTGGCGGCACTTTGATACTGTTACAACTAAACGTGGTCAGAATGCACAATCCTTTTCAATATTATTCAATGTTTCGCAATTCCAAGCTATAAACTATTTACAATCAACGCTGTAAACAGGCAAAGCAGTTGAAGTGTCATATCGATGTATTGGGGATGGATGGAAGTTAGTGTACAGCAAGTACATCATGACATGGATCGACCATTCCACATTACAGGAAATAAGGTAGTACGTATAATATAGTAAGAAGTTACGTATAAGAGAGTAAGTTTCAGGGGGCCTACCACAACCTCTTAAAACAATGTTACTTTAACCTTACATTGACTTTTCGTACCATAAAGCGCTTAAAGTAAGCTTATTTGTAATGTTAAAACTATGATGTTTTATTGACCCCTTTGTGACTATTCATTCACTCAGTTCGTACCATTAAAGTAATATTGCTCTTATGTCAAATTTAGCAATTTTAAAATAGTTACACGGATGCAATGGAAACAATATTGTTTTCAGTTTCATTGTCTTAATATTGATTTGTAATGATTAAAAGTGAAGATGAACTTATTTATTAACATATATCTCTTCAAAATTTTGTTCATTTTTTATTTAATAGCACATAGGAAATAATTTCTCCTGAAATAAAAATACACGATGTTTATTTCTAAATTAAATTATGACAGCGCCATCTATATGCTCCTTGGCGAAGCTAACAGTTGACACTAGACTATAGTTCCGAACACAACGTGACTATCAAGACTCAGCTTGGGTTATTTATTTTTCTTCATGAAAATGAGGAATAATTATTGAAAACAACGTAATTTTAATAGATTTTATTATTACATACTTTTCTTTTCTTAACAGTCAAAATTCTTTGAATGTAACATCATTAAGTACTTAAACATTATACTACGTTAAGACGGTTCAAAACATCAAAAAAGGAAGAGATGGCATTATATAGTTCACGTAGCGTTATCTCTTTCCTATTTTTAGTAAGGAATAGACAATATTGAGAAATCATTCGTTCTTTCCATTGACTTACAAATAGTTCTTTCACCCACTTTTGCAATAATACATTACTTGGTTGACAGGTTCGTCATGATACGAATATGAGTAATATTACAATAAGCTTATTTTAAGCTTACATTGAAATAAGATTGTTTTTGGAAAGGTCACGGTAGGCCCCCAGGTTAGTTCACTCTACCTAATTTAGATGGCAATTTTTATTATTTAAATATTCTAGAGTATTATCTTGAAGTATTATCACATATTCGAGTATATAACCTTAAATATTATTTAATATTTCATAATAATACACTCGAATACTTAAACAATAAAAATTGCCACCGAAATTATGTAACCTGAATATTACGCAATAATATCAACCTATACCAAAACAGGCTAGTGATTTGTCCAAGACAAATACCGTATGTTTCTTATACTAGAGTTATATTTAAAATTGAATGAATAAATTAAAGATAATGGCTGCTCTTATGGTTGAATTCTCTATGATTCCACGAGAACAGTTTTCTTGGATTTACATGTATTTGCTTGGTCAAAAATAACCGTAGTCAGATCTTTATTAATTTACTTACTTCATGAAATGTACATCATATGCTCGCGTCTTTTTTACCTCTCGTATTAGACAATACGACTCGTAATAATCGCATGTCTTTGAACAGCTTTTAAATATGTTAAGAAAATAACTGAGTAAGCAGACATACATAGGTTATTTTCCACCTAACTTCAACCATCGTACTGATCATTTGAAATTGGAAAAAGATTTTATCAAACGCCGAATCACAGTTTTGTTCTGTGTTTTCTAGCGCAATGAAACAGGAAAAAAACGCCCTTATGAGTCATCATGTAAATTGGGTGATATATTTTTAGCGTAATATTCATTGCACAGCGAAATGAGATATTCTCATTCGACTGAGTTCTGATCCCGCTGAGCTGACATGCTCTGTTAAATATAAAAAAAACCTTAATTACCATTGCTACTGCCTGCTTTTGTATATACATATAAGATTGACTGTTTATTACACAGAAATGTGGGCGAATAAGCACAGTTGATTTTAAAATTTATTTTTAATAATGTGCCTGACAACCATGCCAAATGCTGGGTCTCAAATTAGGAAATTACCTGTACTTTGAGTAACAGATTAACGGAATTCACTCTGGGGCACTTCCCAGAACAATCAGATCTAAACTAATTTAGAAGTTCATTTCCCAGATTGATCCTACCGGGAATCTAACCCAGGAGATCCGCATCCAGCGCCCACAGTGTACACCGTTAAGCCACTAAGGTCATCAAATACAAAAATGACGTTATATCAATACATTCCACATTATTCCCATCTTGAACCAAAGAGATTTTAGTGTAGTGACTTAATTTTGCGTCTCTCGCAAATATTAGAATATCTAATTGTACACGCAAATAAAGATGCAGTCAAAAACATAATATGCAACTAATTTCATACGATAATAAAGGAATTTGTCCAAGCGACCTGTAGTATGCGAAGTACATCTTGATGATCTTCAGTAATATTATACTTAGAAGAAACTTATATGTTACAGATCTATAAAGTAATTACACGTTCATTACTAAGTAATATACAATTACAATCAAAGGTTAGTTTCATTACTTTCATTTACTGAATAATGTATAACTGCCATCAAATACCCCTTAGGTAAATTAAACTTCAATTTAATTATTTATTAATTTTAGTAGCACTATGGGTAATTTGGAACGTAATGTAATAAACGCTAAAATAGTAATCCAGGCACTTACAATCATGAATACGTGTACCATATCATGCCACATCATATATAGTAAAATGATAAATATTTTTTTATTATAAGTTTAAATTTCGGGTTCTAAGTTTTAAAATATTTACATATACAAGACTTATAATGTTATAACCGTGTGAACCAATCAGATACGTAACTGTGTTTACGATTTTCTAATAATATGAATATAATTTAAATAGAATAATAATGATTGCCTCATTCCCTTGACTTTGAACGTAAAAACAATACTTTCATGGGGAAAAAACATCAACTGCTATAAATCTTCTTCACGCACGAAAGTTTTCATAATATACAGCGAATGTTTTACAAAAATAACTTTTGCTCGAGCAGGTTACAGAAACTACAAAATAATAACCCTTACAAATACAGTTTACGAAGTAGTTCACATATTTGTTTACTTTTGAAGCAATCTAATAAAACGCGGTTAAAGTAATCGATATAGCGTGGCAACACATACTCAAAAAACACTTGCTTACGTCTACAAATACTTAAAATTACACATTGAAGAAACTTTATGAAATTTCAAATAAACCAAATTCAACAGTAACAATAAGCATATTTACTGTGGAAATTGTATTTCTATCGAACACATGCTTCGTAGCCACGTGCGCGTGTTTAAATAAAACGTTCAATATCATTCTGATAATGTGATCAAGATAGTGTGACACCTGGCCGAGCCTTTCCTAGGTACTGTTAATATCATATGGTGGAATTCCGTACGACAATGTATCGCTACGAAGCTGCTACGAATCTCCGAGCTACGACCTACGACTTCATTAAAATAGCATTTATAAACACATAATGTAGCGGAATCACCGCAATCTGTAAATATGTATTTACTGTGGAGTGAAGACGTTATCTATTCAAATTGTTTTGAATCGGTAATTTTATTTCAATAAAACGCGATATCGACGGGCTAAAAACTCTAAATCAGCGAATCTTTAATTCACTTTCAAAAAACTAAAGTAAATGGAGAGATTCTTCAAACCCTTTTTATCCACAGTATATCAAGTTTCAAATCTCGTCCATACCTTCTGAAACCAATCTCTGAAACCAATATATTTCCACGCAATATTTCAAGTTCTACTAAGAATTATGAGTCGGTAGGTTTTGCTTTTATACAGATAAGCTTCGGTAAATGCTATAAGTCTTCTTAGTATTTGGGACTTGTTCGTGTTATGATATCTCTGAATGGGTAAATTATGACCTACCTATCTACACTTGTATTCAAATCGAAAAAAAGTGTTCATAAATTATAAAATAAATACGTGGTACAATTATTTAATATTATGGTTTGTTTTAAGTGTATAATTAAAATATTTAAAAGTCATTAAATGAAAATGAAAAGACAGCGATAGCAAGAATAGGTAAACAAATTATAGTATTACATTTATCCACAAATAAACAAACATAGAGTAACAAGCTTTTTAACAGAATATTCACAAATGTTACCTTTCAATCATACAATCCTTTCTTTGTTCACTTCATAATTTAAATTTGTTCACTTAAAAGTGTCCAGTTCGAGATTCAAAGCTAAAGGAATTGAAGTCTTAATGACAGAACAGTTGCATTCAAAAGTTTCTGGTCAATTCGCGAAGTGCAGTAGTAGACAGTCACAGCAGCGGTGTCTGAGCTGTAGTGATGACGGCGCGATGAGGCCCGTGACCGACAAGCTCAGTACAAAGGAGCGTAATACCGGCGGGCCCCCGCCCGGACCATACCGGCGCTCCCCACGCCTACCGTTTCCCGACTGACGTTGGACTACACGACACATCTGCATTTAAGAAGCCGCTATCGTTATGCGACTAATCGATTGGTCGGAGCAAGTGGAACTGTCTACCATCCCGCTCCGCGAGTTCTCTCCCTCGCGCGGTTCGCGCAAGCGTATTGCCGTGTCATTCTCTTTTAAAACTGACGGAAAGTAAATAAACTCCCACGAACTGTTTCTGAAGAAACCGAACATGCAGTGGAACTTGAAAATTTATTTCAAATATACGTAAACCGGGCCGAAAAAAGGCACGACTATTTTTAATCTATAATAAAAGTAAGAGGGCGCAGTTTTAGTGGCTTTGTAACAAGGAAACCCGACAGCCACAGAGTCAGAACGGTGAAACGTCACTTGTTGCGCGGCGACTTTGTTCCGGTGTTGAAAGAAAAGCCACGCACGTCTTGCACGCCACTCGTAGCTTGTTATTTTACTTATAATTAATTTCAACGCATTTCTCTGACGCCATGAGCCGTGAAGGCGTGTACAGTGTTACTGTTACTGTTTTCATAACCGATAGTGTAATTGGGTTATAAAATTACCTATATTATTTACGGTTCGTCAAACCTAACTTGATATCTGATTTAGAATTTACAATGATTGTATTTTCGGTTCTTTCTTGAAAATTTGAATCTGTTATACTATTTTCAAGGTTCTTAATAGCAGTTTAAAAAAGTGATAATTTGCATAACTTGCCTGAGTAGTAGTTTATTTAATAATTATTCATTGATGACCAAATGAAAACTCATGATTAAAGAAAAATACTGAATTCTTATCCAACAAAAAAGGTCATTCCTTTGTTACTTGATTTTGCTATACTCCAATTGATGGCGTTATTCTCTCAATATACTTTAAGCAGTGAGCACCGATTTTTATTATCTCCTCTATCTAGTTCCGTATAGTGGTGAACTAGGTGATGAATCCAGTTTTGCGCATTTTCGATTTCAATAAAACTTGGCAAATAGGTATAATTCCACAAACTTGGGAAGTCGGTTTTTGTAGTACTCTGTACTGAGATTATCAAATTAACCAACCAACGTTAATGAAATTAAACCAACATTAAGTAAAGTTACCTGACTTTTGAAAAAATACTGCATTATTTTTGGTATTTTACTTGTGTATAATTATTTTTTTAACCGACTTCGAAAAAAGGAGGAGATTGTCATTCGACTGTATGTTGTTTTTTCTGTATGTATGTTACGGAATAACTTGTGAACCGAGTTTGATGATTCTTCTTTGTTGTACAGAGGGTACCTCAGTAGTGGTCCCATTTAAATTTCAAGACAATATACTATCTCTAAGGGTCGTACTCAATGCTCAAGTCAGGATTTGAGCAGACTTGAGTATGATTTCAAGCACTAGAAATGCGACCCTAATGGCAAGGAGTTGAATATGATTTTCAGTGCTCACTGCAATACTCAAGTCCTGACTTGATTATTGAGTAGAGTTCTAGAAATACGACCCTAAGTGTGGCAAATTAGGGGATGAACGATTTTTGAGGTCGGTTTTTTAGTACTCTGTACTGAGATTATGTTACTGCAAATATATTTTGACGAATACTAGAAACTCAAACCTCAAATGTTGTTCAACAACATTTTCTTAATGATTGATGTATAAAAAATGTGAGTTAACAAATTTTATATTTAGAGTAATCGTATATATCTACAAAAACGGCTTCCGCATAGCCAGCTAAACTCAGTCCAATAAATACGGCCCATGTGAAAGCCTTACCATGTTCCGGAAATGTAAAAGAGCCATTATTCTCGTAGCCAATTTAATTACAGTAAGATCGCCGAAAAAATATCACTTTGTGGGCAAGAAATTGAACGCCCCTATCTATATGTGTAATCTATATGATTGATTGAGGACCGAAAATGTGGTTACGCTAGGAGTTCTCGGGATATTCTTGCAAATATTAAAATATACGTAATTCGAGTATGTGATTTATTTTTAATCGTCTTCTTTTATTTAAGGGCCGTGGGGCTTCCTGCACCATGTTTGCCGTGTCATGGTCACCAGAAATGTGCTCTCCCGCGCCGTCGCCGTTGAATGAGACCGGGCGTAAAATCGACGTGACGAAAATTTATTTTATTTTAATGAAGTAGCATCTTCTTTGTCACTATAACTACATTCCAATACAATCATTCTGTTGAAATAAAATTAATTAAGTTTTCGTCTACGTACTCATTCTATTCATCCTAGATTGAAATGAGGAACGAATGAGGACTTTCAAACTTTATAGTACTACTAGTCTATAAGTCTACAAGGTATGTATTTATAGATTTTTTGTAACCTATAGATAAATAAATACATAAATAAAATAAAAATTAATTGCTTACTTTCAATAAAGAGTAATAAACATTGAAATTAAATACAAAGGTCAATTTATTTAGTTGTAGTGTTTTTAGCATCTTAAAAATATAAATACACTTGACTTCACGTCGATCACGCCGACGCCGCCAGTCGAAAACCGGCAGACGCCGCCGTCGCCGCCGCCACCAACGATTTTCCGATCAGCACATATCTAGTCTCCACTCAAAAATGGCGGCCTAATGCTTTCTTTGCTAGGTGCACTTACATAACGAAAGTCCAGTCCAAAGGAAATCCAGTTTTATGGACGATAAAGATTGCATTAAGATTTCTATTTCATTGTAATGTATTGGGTTGATCAAAAAGTCACCATCATCAAAGTACCTACAAATGAAAAAAATTAAAAAATACAAATCAAGTATAAATCAATAAGTATATCAGCCGTGTTGATCTACAGTTTTGGCCATTTTTCGAGTGATTTATTACGATTTTTGTTATTGTTTTGCGTTTTCGTGAATAAATATTGTTTTGGTACTATCAATATTCTACAGTTAGTGCCACCTGGCGTAGCAATAGTGGTCATTGACCCGACTTTTATCCCAAAGACGCAGTTCGACGATGACCGATAAGCGATCCCAATAAATCTGTCGCTATTTTGACATCGCTTGAGTAACATAAACAAAACCAATGACATAACTAAAAAATGTGTGAAATTGTATTGAATTGATATGGTTCATAATATCACATTTTTATTATTGTATAATTGTAATTTATCAAATTAATTATCATTTTAATGATAACCAATTTTAATGCAAAATAAACAAAACGTATTACTTTAGAATTATATACTAACTACATTTATATTTAAAATTCATTGCATAATAACATAATTCAGTTCTCATCGCTCTTTCTTTTTACTTACTTTTCACGCCAGAAACTCGTCACTTTTTAGACATTTTGTTCTTACAGCCACAATCATGCTATGTATGTACGCCTACGTTCGGTCGAGTTTCGAAAATATTCACGTTTCTATTTTAGTGTTGTTTCGTAAGTCGTTTTATTAAAGCTAGTATTTTTATTAATTTGCTTTATTTTACCAGAAACAATACTACCACTTTTGAATTTGGCAGTTATGCGTAAGGTTTAGATTTTTAACCGACTTCAAAAAAGGAGGAGGTTCTCAATTCGACTGTATGTTCTTTTTTTGTTTTTTTTTGTATGTATGTTAAGCGATAACTCCGGTATTTGTGAACCGATTTTCATGATTCTTTTTTCGTTGGAAAGGGGGTACTTCCATAGTGGTCTCATTTCATTTTGAAGGAAATCATCCACCTCAAAGGGTGGCTGTTCACGCATGAAGATTCATTTTTATAAATAACACCTAACTTTATTTTAGGAGCAATTACTTTTAGCAATTATTTAGTTGATTTTGCTATTTCATCAATTCAAGGCGCTTTTCCCTTGATATACTTTGAGTAGTGTCGTAGTGAGAACCTATTTTTATTATCTCCAGTATCAAGTCCTGTATAGTGGCGAACTAGGGGATATTTCAATGAAACTTAGCAAACAGATGTAATTCTACGTACTTTTGAGGTCGGTCTTTTTAGTACTCTGTACTGAGATTATGAAAGTGACGGTTGTACTTTGTATCTTGTTTTTTTTTTTATAATATTTATATTCTTTGAATTTTTTTGTTTGTAGATCATTTGCAAACCCTGCCACTTCTCTTAGCAAATGTGTTGATAATAGTTGAGTCATTGCAGACGAACCCTCCACTGTGAATTTCTTCCCCTTAATTTACATCATTCCAATGGGAATGTTTTTTCGTTTTAATCTTTTGTTATAACTGCAGATTGTCAACTATTTTGCCAATTCGTTAGGGTCATTTTCAAGGCTATTACGGAACTTTGAGGTGGTAGATTTAAAAAAAAAGAAAAAGGTTTCATTACTATCAAAGTATTTAAAAGGTTTACGATACCTGAGGCCATCTGTACGTCAAGGTGATTTCTGTGGTAACGGATAACACTTTCGCACGTTACTGGAAACATTGGAGAGTGTGGTTTTCTCAAATAACGTATACAGTGATAGAAAAGGGTGAATGATCGCTATTAACATGCTAAATGGCATTTAGTATAGAAAATATTCATGATTATGGTAAACTATTTGAAGTTTTGTCTCTTGCGTTATCAATCACACAGAAATAATAATATTTTTTAGAATTTCGATTTAACGGGGTCTATAGTGATTATTATGCATATGAAAACGAACAGCTTCCATACTTCAACTGGATCGGGACTGCACCAACGTAGAAGGTCATTATGAATAAGCCTGGATTAAAGTCGGGAAGCATATAAATTATAAATGTCTCTTGAAGTTTTTTTTGTTGAGGGACAAAAGTTACCACATATTATGAGAAAAAAATATATATTTAAAATTAACAATATCTAAACCCTAATAATCCCCTAAACATACTTTAAACAAAACAAAAAGATAACCCAGCAATCTGATACAATTATACACATTTAGGTATTGCAGATACTGCAGCACCATACGTATCCCAAACCTGTGTCCCAAACAATGCAACAATGCACACAGAGGCAACTCGCTGCGTTCGGCAGCGGTCGTGTTTTCCGTGTAGGATTATTATTCTACGGTCGTGTTACGTAACAAAAATGAATATAACGAGTCTAAATGAACCAGAGAGGAGTAACAATTATCTAAGCCTTCAGTGGACTAACACAGTAAAATATGTGAATTAGGTCAAGATAATTAAAATATGTTTTTTAAGTGATTAAGTCCCGAATTAAATAAGGCTGGAATAGGTGCCAAATTGATAAATTAGGCTCTTTTTAAATTAATTTCCTAATAATTATAATAGTCCAATAATCACAAAAATAAATATGATAGGTCAATGTTGCTACTAGTCCTTAAATAATTTATTGTATTGAGCAAAATTATAATTTATTAAGCACATTTCTATGAAATAAAATTTAAAGTTACGACTTCAAATTGAATAAAAAGCAATTTCTCTTTACATGCAAACATCCGTTGTTTATAAATTTTCTTCACGAAAAAATAGATAATTTAATTTCGGACAGAATGTATTGTTCACTTTTTTTAACTTATATAGTTCATAAGTTAAGTGTTATTATTGGAAAAAATAATAATTCCTTACCACCTGCGAGCTCTGCGCAGTATTACGCTCGGTTGCCTTTCAGGCGGGTTTATGCCACAAAAAGTTGTTGTTTTTAATTAATTTCACTTTTATTTGTGTTAAATTTAGTTTGTTTAGGTACATTTGACATTGTTTTTATATTTTAGATTTTATAAATTAGTTATTTCGTTATGTTTACATTGAATCTTTTTTAATAACTACCAAAGACTAGACAATATAGATATATAAATATAAAAATAAATCTAAGGTGAAAGCGTGGAATTTGTACATTATCATACAAATAGTATGGTACTGGGTGAGAAGGTTCCAGGTTCGATTCTTCCAGGTTCGATTCTTCCAGGTTCGCTTCTTTTCAAGTGTAAATTTATTTTACCTATGGAATAAACAATCTTTGACTTTGACTTTGATTCCCAATAGGACCAAATTAGGAAATTAACTTTTCTAAAATGGTTTTGGCCTTGGTGTTGTGAGTAGTGCCGCGGAGTGAATGCCCTTGTTCTTGGTCTCGGATCGATTCCCGGCAAAACAAATTTGGGAAAATGAACTTTCTGAACTTGGGTCTAGCGTGGGTGTTCTGGTAATGCCCATGTTTGAATTCAGTTGCTCTGGTACTCATAAGGAGTACAGGGGTTAAGGGGAACAGACAAAAGTACATTTCCCAAATTGGTTCTATCGGAAATCGAGCCCGGGACCAAGAGCTACGAAATTCACTCCGAGGCACTACCCAGAACATCTAGGCCTAAACCACTTTATAAAAGTTTATTTACGAAATTGGTTCTACAGGGTAATGAACCCGGAACCAAGAGCTACGGAATACACTCCGCAGTATTGCCCAGAACACCTAATAGGCCAAAACCATTTTAGGAAAATTTCATTTCCGAAACTGGTTCTACCGGGAATCGATCGACGGGGACCAAGAAGTACGGAATTCACACTGCGGCACTACCCAGAATACCTAGGCCAAAATTATTTTAGAAAAGTTCATTTCTCAAATTGGTTCTACCGGGAATCGAACCCGGGACCAAGAGTTACGGAATTCACTCCGCGTCATTACCCAGAGCACCTAGGACAAAGCCATTTTAGAAAATTTCATTTCCGAAATTGATTGTACCGGGAATCAAACCCGGGACCAAGAGCTACGGAATTCCCTCAGCCACACTATCCAAAACACCAGGCAGAAACCATTTTAGAAAAGTTAATTTCCCTAATTGATTCCGCCGGGAATCAGACCTGAAACCGTCTTACGCAGTGCCAACAGTGCAACCTGTTGGGCCACCAAGATCGTCTTATTTGGACTTTAGATTAGAGTTAGATTTACTCATATATTATTTGTATGTAAAATCTACAAATCGTTTAAAACACGACCACCCATTCGTAAAGCAGATTCCCGTGAGAAGAAATATTCACTTTATTTAGCACATATGAAGTTCTGTATTGTATTGCTATTTGCAAGTTCGCCCTAAGCAGTCCGATGTCACACAGCCAATGTTTGCCTTTCAAAGAAATATACCTTATTGTTGAGAAGCCTAGTCACACTTTGAAGTGCCCGTGGTGGCACAAGCTGGTGACGTCAGGCTGCGCCGCGCTGCACCGCGCGACACAAAGACATACCCACTTTAGAACACATACAAACTGCCTCTGTGGCCGAACGGTTACCATGCCGGACTGCCACGCAGAGGTCCCAGGTTCGATTCCCGGGCCGGGAGAAATAGTTGTATGGCCTACAATTATTTCTCTCATGAGTTTGGGTGTAATTTGTGGTTGTCTATGTGTGTGTCCATGGCACCCGCGACACAGGGTTTCCCTACTGCGGGGCTATGTTGAGTGTGTGCGTTATTATTTATTATTACTTTATTTAGTGAAAATGAAACTATACTATATTGCATCTCGATCCCCCGCTTTTGGCGGCCTTCTCTCGCGCACTCTGCTGTCGGTTCGCCGGCGACGATCTCGATCGATCGGAAATAACAGCGCAACTTGTGATCATCTCTCACTAAGTTTGCGGCCCGTTTCGAAACCGCGGCGGCTGCTGGTACGTGACCGCAACCGCACAAACCTGTGGTGTCGTGAATATTGAAATAAAACAGCTGTCACGCAGACGCGACAGGCGCTGGTGAAAACCGCTCCGTGAGTTCTTAGCCTAATGACCAATAGCAACGCAGCGAAAGAAGCTTTCCTAGCATCCACTCAAATTGCACAATTAAGAACAGAATGTTTACTCGGCCATCCTTCAACAGATATGCATGAAATTTTAAACTATTCACAGGTCGTGACGAAGCCTACATTTTAAATTCGGTCTATTATCTGAGATGACTGAGGTCAAAGGTCACCATGTTAAGTTTATGAAAAAAAAATCAATTGTATAATGTTGCACAACGTTGGACAATGTGTAAACTGTGAAAAAAGAAAAATGAGAAAATATTTGCGAACGCAAATGTACAAGTTGCGAATTATGATAGACTAATGCGCTGCGATGGTAATTTACAGTTTGAACCTGAAGTTGCTGCTTGATATCAAATTTAAGTTTTGTCATTGAAGCGAAAATAATTAAGAAGTTTACGGTGAAAAAATATGCAATATGCAAAAATTCTTTATTGAAATTCGTACCTTAGTTAATTTAAATAGCATTTAAATTTTTTTTTAAAATTACAGTTTAAAAAATACAGCTTACATAGCCTTTTTTTGTTAATCCTGGGGAATCTGCTTACAGATACCCCGGGCCCGCGGGGGCAGAGCCGGGCTTATGTGGGACTGGACTGAACCCTAAAGGGGAACAGCCCGACCGCATTAAACACTCGGAGTGTTCCTCCTCTCCGCTGTAGGTACGCAATTGCACTCGTCCGCGCCCCCACTAGTGGCTGGCCGCGCCTTCCCGAGAAGGGAGACACATCGGTCCCCTGACTCCAAATGTGAGGTTCGCCGAACACCAGATGAGCCTTCCATCCTTAGCCCCTCTATGCTGGGCAACGAACTCCACCGAGTCTGCTACTCAGTGGCCGTAGGGGGCCAGGACAGCATCCACTCAACCCCCAGCCCCCACAGCGGATCTGATGGCAGGCTCCGCCGCAACACCTAACGGGCATCCGCGCGGACTCTCTGAAGAGGATCCCTTGGAGCACCCACCACGGGCCAACCGCCCAAGTTCGGTCGCGGAGGATAGAATGAACGTGAAATGGTTGTAACCCTAACTAACCGTGAACAGGTTTACGGCAATGAAATGGGAAACTTCCGGTCCACAAAATTTATTAAAGAAGTAAAATTTAAAAAAAGGCTGTAACAATATAAAGGTAAATGTAAAAAAACAGGTATAGTATAAAACACTCCCTACACTTTATTATTAAGGCACTTACCCCTAAATGGACCGAGAAACTGAATTACAGAAATAGATACAAGAAGGCCGTAGACTTATAAATTATTACACATGATTAGCTTATTAACAGCTCCGACTGTTGTGGCAGTCGAGCTGGGAGTGACCGTGGTACGAAAACAAAATCAGAAAGTGAAGGAAGATGGAACAATTCAAATTTAAAATTTAAATACATGTAAAATAAAATAGTAATAGTAACAGTTTAATTGTGATACGTAATAGTTACATTTCTAAGCAATGTAACATGAACACTGCAGCAAAATATAGAAAAATAACCACAGTAATAAAGAAAAACATCGTAATCCAACTGCCGTTATAGCAAGGGTAAAAAGTTTCAACCATTCGATATTGGATTCGACAGCAGCTAAACCAAATACATTCTTCAGTTATAGAACATAGAGTGAAATTTCATATAAGAGAGATGCATCCTTAGTATGAATTTTCTCGAAATGAAATCTCGGCGTAGCCATCGAAAGGCAGTGTTTTATTTCGAAGATAACTAGATACTTGTTTTCCTGTTTCCCTGTAACACAAAACCCATATTAAATATTCCAAGTCGTTTAGTATTATTCAAATATGGGAATTGTCAGTAGCAAAACTGTAGAAAATTAAGTATTAGCAATGAGCGTAATTTGGAAATTTTATAATTTGTCGAGAAACTGAAAAGCCTAAAGAATAGTTATTTTAAGAATATAATTTCTGAATATTATTGAGTTTGATTGGTTATATCGAAAAAGACCAAACTTCCTTCAAAAAAGAGCGCACCCACAAGATTGTCATCATTGCAATATCTCACTAGGCTAACCCCGGAGCGATATTGGGCGTGGAATGATCAACTACAACAAGTATCTAATATAAAGTAATCTATAGATTTAATGCAACTTGTTCAATGAAGATTACCTTATTGACCAGCCCAAACTTTAGTACTTTAATTTATTTACGAAATTCTTTACGTTCCCTTTTAAAAGTGTGTAACTGTCCCTCAATAAACAAAAAAGAAAAAAAAGATTTTGACAATAAGACCATTGTTGCCAGGGCCCTTTAGTCGAAAATTACATTTCTTTACTGAAAAGTTACATTTTTGCTGTAAAAGTTACAAATAATAAGTTATAAATATAAATATAAGTTAAAAATTTATAGTGCAAAAGTTAGATAATATATGCATATATTACTCTAATAACTTACATGTACAGCCACTAACAGAATACTGTTCCTGAGACCTGTATGCCGTAAAGCTTCTAGCTGACGTGCCCACGGGCCTGCCTGAAGTGGTGCTCGCTGCTCGCCTCTGTTTATATGGCGGAGGCTGATGTGCCACCACTGCAAAAAATGGCACGACTAATGAACTACTGTGAGCAAAACGGCCAGCATGTCATCGTGGCTACTAACTCCAATGTCCAGTACCCGCTGTGGGGCATGGAACTCGCAAATAACAAAAGTAAAATCCTAACAGAATACTTATTCACTCCTAACCTTCAAATCCTAAGTAAAGGTACAGTACTGATTTTTGCAAATTGAAGATGTAGAACTATTATAGATCTAACCCTAGCATTAGAGGATGCAGTGAACCTCATCAAAAACAGGCACGAGTCCGAGGAAGCATCCTTCTCGGGCTACAGATGGATAAGATTCACCCTAGAAACAGTCATCAAAGTACACCAACCTAAACTGAACCCCCGGAAAACCGACCGGAATATATGCATAGACAAACTAAACCAAAGTCCTATATTCAAAAAACGATCCGTTTTGCTTACGGTCGGTACTTTTTTAACCAGGCATAGGTTAGAACCGTTCCTATAAAAAGCGTTTCGTAAGCTGTGTGCCAGTGGCGCGCTACCTACGGATGGGAGGGTCACGACCTCCACGAAAGATAATGTATGGAGATGACAGTTCGTAATGTTCCTATTAGTATTTATGTGGTCTGTGGTTTCTATAATATTTTTTTAAAGTCAACGAGATGTCAAACCTAGTAGGCGTAATTAATTTTATTACCGTCCGAATTCAAACGGTTGTGTAGTAAAGTTTTACGAATAACTAATTGAAATGTTTATTTCAGATTGTTTTAGTGATTTAGAAGGGCGAGTACGTCAGATTCAGATGTAGAACGTAACCGCAGGAATTACAAAATGAGAATTGACCATTTTAATACCTACTTAAAGTTTTATGAAATCCAACTAAGATTCGAGAATAAGATTCGACTGCATAAAATAGCAACGATTACTCAACAAGTAAAATACAACGAGTAAATACATTTTTATTTAAGAATTAATTAAATTTTATTTTATTTATTAGTGGATTTTCCCGTGTATTTTACAATTCCGCCGAAATTTCATAATATCAGTGTTAACTTTGAACTGGCAGGCAGTTTATATTAAGAAATAGTAATCTGTAAACAAGTGACACGTGTGCGCAAAAACACCGCCTCATGGCGAGGGTACTACGAGAACATCACGTCTTGTACACAAGCTCATTGAGAAAGGAAAATTCTAGCCAACTCAAATTCTACAGGACTAGACTCAACACGCAAAGCAGATAACACATTCACTACTTCCCCTACGGAGACGGAAATAATCCTACTGGAAACATACTTCCCAGGATGCAAGTGCGTCCAAGACGAGAGGGATGAAGAATTTAACTACAACACATCCACTCACAACTAGCAGTATGCTGAACAGTTGGTAACATATGCAATCAAAATAAAATATGCAATAAACACCTTTGTACCATACAAAGCCCCGGGCCGTGTAATAAACACCTTTTCAATTTAAGTATCACGGACAGCCTTCTATGAAGAGCGTGCGTGGATAAGGAAGAAACGGCCGCTACAATGCTCCGGCGTGGCTAAATACAGGGCAAAGTACCTTGGTGTGTCGGAGTCGCTCCCCGAAGTCTTCAGCAAACCCAAGAGGGCTCTGAGATTCTTGGAAGAGCTTGGACGGCACGAGTAGGACCCAGTACTCACCACATGCAAAAAAGGCGCCTGGTCGTCGAGTTGCGGACAACAGCCCATTACACCATACCATACCTTATTATAACATACGCCTAAATCCTAAAAATAAAAAAGTAAATACGCTCAAGAAAAATGAAGCTATAACCAGTAATTGATTGATTTCATTTTATTTGCGACATCATTGAGTTACTTTTTGTGTAATTTGCGTGTGTTCGCAAACTACTTAGGATTTAGGATTTACTATAACAAATATACTTACTTAGTTGAGAAAAAATTACAACATCCTCAAAAGTTTCGAAAATTGCCTCAAAAACAAAAGTTCCTTACATAATATTACGCGAGAGAGTCAAACGTTACGAAAAATGTATGTAAGAAATGTAGGTAACTATCCGACAATATTGATAAGTCCATTTAATATAAATGTACAAGGAAAGACTAGATAATAATAATAATATAATAACGCGCACATACCCCCGCACTAGGAAAAACCTGTATCGTGGCGAAAACACACACATAGACAACCACAAATTACAACCAAACTCACTAGAAAAATAAATGTAGGCCATACAAATATTTCTCCCGGACCGGGAATCGAGCCCGAGACCGTAACCGTTCGGTCACGGAGGCAGTTAAAGATGAGATGGTACTGAAGCAACCGAATATCTTGCTTATCGTGTCTTTGTGTCTTTCGTGGACGCAAATATCCAATTAATCCATGTAATTTTTACAACGCTTTGTATAACTACATAGGGCGCACTATAAATTTCCGGAACTGGCCACTTACATAAACAACATTTAAAAAGTAATTACAACATTTGAAAATGGAACGCTTTGGCTGTAGAATATAGTTTGTATCATTTGACTGTCACTTGTTTTTACATTGTGGCGTCATTTTAGAAATGTATTGTCTATGGGTCGTATTCTAGAACTCTACTCAATGCTCAAGTCAGGATTTGAGTATGGTTTAAATTAAAGCACTCGAAATCATACTCAAGTCCCTGCCATTAGGGTCGTATTTCCAGTGCTTGTGTTTCCAGTGCAATCCTGACTTGAGCATTGAGTAGAGTTCTAGAATACGACCCTACATCACATGTAATGCACACATTACTGCTTGACGGCAGAAATAGGTCAGGTGTCAGTACTCCCTGGATGAGCTCTTTCACGTCACTTCTTTCGCCGAACTAATCCGAATGTCATCATGTGTTTATGACGAAAGTTAAAAAATAGCAAACCGTATCAATTTTAATATAAAAAATTCAAACGTAACCTATCCTCGCTCAAATATATATTATAGAAAAGAAATAAACTGCGTCGCTAACACAATTAGTTCACTTTTGTTTAGTCTTTATAGACAACGTCATCGCCTTACACACAATAACAAAAAGTTCACTGTTTTTAACCAACTTCATAATAATATGAAGGAAGTTCTCAATTCGATTGTATTTTTTTTCGTATATGTTACACGATTACTCCGACGTTTGAGAACCAATTTCAATTATTCTTTACTGGAAACTTACTTTTTATTGGAAAGGGGGTATCTCAATAGTAGTTCTATTCAAATCTGAAAAAAAAATTCCACCTCTAAGGGTAGCAAATTAGGGGATGAATCTAGTTTATTAGATTTCATCCATTTTCCTTTAACGGGTTTCAATAAAACTTGTCAAATAGATTAAATCCACAAACTTTTAAAAGCGGTTTTTGTTTATAATATTCTCATAAAGCATTAGAGTGAATTAATTAGTATGTATAAAATTATCTCTTCACTACTACGTAACAACACTAAACACAGAGAACAATTTTCAATTAAATACACGAGCCGCATTTCGACTACATAGCAATTGCAAAATTGCAATTAGAATGTAATCCGCACGGCACCATCACGGCTACCGATTGCTAATACAGTAGTGTGAACTATAACCATTGATTGGTACTTCGAATACCATTAGCCGTCGGTACATCATTATTATCACTTTTACAAAACAACGTTTTTAATGAGCAAAAGAAAGTCATTACTAGTAATACCAAAGGAGACGAAATATACATAAAAAAAAAAACAGAAAATTAAAGAGATCATTAAAATGTAAGAGACGAATCAATACTGTCATTTCAATAACAAGCTGCGCTCTGTCGCTATAAAAAACATCAAATATGCTCAGTAGTATAGAAGAATTTAATTAATAGAAACAGAACGATAGCACCGTCCGATAGTTCCATGTATTAAATTGGGACACACGGTTCTTTAACTCATTGAACCATTGTTGCTACTATATTACGATTTATTTTTTGTGATACCAAGTGACCGGACGAACAAGTCCTGCGCCTAATGGTAAGCGAGATACTTGTCCGTAACAGCTGCAGTGCCACTTTTTCCTTTAAAAAAAATATTTTCGAAACATTTTCAAACAGTAGAAATTTTTCCGGAAAAGTTCCCGAAAAATCGGAAAAATATCATTTGTAAGACTCATATTATGTTCTACCTTTAGAAATATCTTTTAAAATTTTATTTAGCGTGAATTATAAAATAAACTTGTCTAGCTAAAAGCCTTCTATAGAAAAACAAGATTTAAAATGATTTCACAACAGCGAAAAGACCTCCATCAACCCCACCACCACCACATGTTGTTGGCTCCATCGTTTTCGTACAGTAACTTCAGCTTTTGACAGGTGTCAACATCAAATAAGGAAAAATACTGGAAAAATGTCCGGAAAAACATTTATTTTTCTGAAAACTTGGGAAATTTTTCCATGACCCAATACTACTTGTGCCCGTAATTTTACCAGCACAGCAGTAGCTTCGGTGATATGTTGGGTGATATGACATATATTACGTACAGTCAAGAGCACGTCAAGCTTGACACTTTGAACTTTGAACCATTCTTATTGTAAGCAGCATAGAGTTGGATTTAAATCTTAAGTGTCAAGCTTGATATGCTCTTGACCCTGTACGTATTCAGAGGACACTTATATTTTATCCCGGGATTGATCTCCAGCCGGGCCAATGTAGAAAAAACTAACTTTTCCATTTGTCTCGGGTCTGGATGTTTCGTGTACTATCGCTGTTTCTATTTCCATAATACAAGAACTTTGGTTACTTTTAGATCAGAGCAACGTATGTAATGTTGTCTAATTTAAAAAATAAATAGTATATACTTGCCATTCAATATAGTACAAACCAAACAAAAAAATGGAACACTTCGGCCATCGTGCTGCAAACTTATTTATTCCTTTGTAACAGAATAGTGGGAAACAAGAATCCACAAAGTAGGGAGTTCAATTCATTTACTCGTACATAATTGTCAAAATTAGTAAGGGTCAAGCATCGAGTATATATGGTTATATACTCGATGGGGCCAAGTCAGGTGACAATAACGGGTGACCAGAGCTTCTGTGATGTGGTGATTTGTTGGGAAATAAGCGCTCTTGTGTGAAGACTCGATGAAGATCGGTTGACTAGCCGTGATTGTTTCTCAGTTATACCAGCTCTACGAAAAGTACGATAAGTTTTTGAGTTTGTCGACTATGTTTAATTTACGATGACCATAACATTTAATTTTTCATCACAAAAATGAAACGGTATAATTCGTTTATATACATATGGCGATTTATTAGGACAGTGCTAACTTGAACACACTTTGCCTTCAACACAATTCCAGCGGTGCCCAAGTTCCCTGTTTTTACGAATTTTGTATCCAACCGGATGGATGGTACAAAGAAATTTACATAAACACCTTATTGTTGAACTTGTACAGAGAAATTGATTTATCTTTTATTTATTGCAAATGGATGCTTTTAAATCTGGTACCGCCTCTCGTTCTCCCCGTGCGTGTCGCGAGGCGTTGACAGCTTGTAACGTAGATATAGTTCAAACTATGCTGCTGACTTCTTTTGTAGATTGGGACAGATCGGCTTCAGTAACTGCTCCCTACACATCGTTATTCACCTATTAGGCACAAGTCGTCTGTTTACAAGGCTCATTTGCTAGGGTTAAAATTCCTGCGGAATCAGGCTGCGCAAACACGCATGTGGTTACGCGTTAGTTGCGCTCCTTACTAGACATGAGCACCGCGTCGTCGTCGGCGCGCGCGCCGCGCGGCGCCGCGCCGCCGCGTTTCCCCCGCGCCGCCGCCGCCGACAAATGCAATCGACGCGCCGTTTAGTTCAGTTTTCACATAGTGTTCCGTGGTTTTCAATACGCATACACAAACGGAAGCGTGCGCGTGTGTACGATCGGAGCGCCTGATCGAACTGATAAAAGTATGATTACTATATATATTTTTTCCTTTGACAAAATATTTGTGTGACGGTTTTTGTAAAAAAAAACACCGTTATACAAATTCATTGCATGGTCGCTCCGCCGCGCCGCCGAAACATCGCCGCCGCCGCCGCCGACACTTTTTCGCCGGCGCGCCGCCGCCGATTGGTCTATTGTCGGCCCTCATATCTACTCCTTATACGTTGTCAATATTTTGAGTCGTATTTACTGCAATAGTGGCACATAAGAAATCGTATTCAACAATTACACGAATTTTAGGAGTAAGTTGGACGAAAATCGATTTCATTTCACAACAATGACCAGAACTTTAGGTGGTAATTTCATACTTTTACCCGTAATATTATTGCATAATTTAGAATTAGAGCGCCTTTAAATTAGACGCTTGTGGAAGCGTTGCAGTGGCGCGACTGTCGAATGGCAGCCGCGCATCTGTACCGCTTCGGTAATTTTTAGTTCATTAAAGGCCCATTTAGATGGAGAGAGTTTATCGCACGCTACGTGACGAAAAATCGTACGCGATTATCGTAAGCAATAATCGCCATAAGATTATCGTCTCATATATAACGTTTACATTCAGGCAAGAACTAAAATCTCGCCTACGATTATGTCATACGAGATTCGCAAGCGACCTAATCGCCTCCTCGACTGTTTACACGGAGAAATATGTGGTAAGGAGATTCTTGCTTACGAGTTTTCGACTTGTCTAAACACGATCTCGTATGACATATTTTCAAGTTCATACGATTATCGTACAAATCGGTTCGAACCGTTTTGAGTGCGAGAATTGCCATTCGAGTTCAGTGATTACTGCGGTATTGACTATGTATATATCAAAATGACGCAAAAATCATTCAAATTTGGAACTGCTGATAATATTAAGTTCATTGCATTGTATAGAAATATACATTTTTGAAGTTTCTTTTTTTTTCAAACTTTATAACATTCCTTAATTCAAAATTTTTTTTCGTTCTCGTTTCATTAATTCTTGTCTTAGAAAAGCAGTGATAATCTAAACACCCTCGCGCACTGCACTCGTGGTAGAAACGGCTGGCACAGAAACTTGAAATACGATTTTTGCTTTCGAGTTCTGTTTACACGGAGACGTTCAATATTGAAAGGCAAGGCGATTATCGCTCACGTGGACGGTCGATAATCGCGAATGTTTGGACGAGGAAAGTTTTTTATATTCTTTCGATAATCGTATCTTCGAGATTATAAACTCTCTCCATCTAAGTGGGCCTTAATTGTGCTACAATTGTGCTTCTAAATATTGTGTGACAATTAGTAGTGTCTAATTTGAAGGCGGCCAAACGTGCCTATATACTCGACACACACACAAATATTATAACAAAATGCAATACCAAATCATGGAAATTGTATTTGCCGGTTTATGCAACGTTGTGTCTCGTAAAGGGGACGGTACTCGAGAGGCGAGCTCTTAACATTTTGCCAGAGTCGTATCAAACGACGCGGAAATTCCCACTTACTCCCTGATTGCCACACTACGGGCTAATGTCCTTGTTGATTCCGAATGCCGAATGCGTTTATTGGGCTAACATTCCTTCTCATGTTTTTATACTTTTCTGTAGTCATATGTTTTTGGCTGATCACCAGCGGAATGGTTCAATTTTAATGCATACAAAAAACAAATATAGCAATAGGTAGATTTGAAATTTTATGATACCAATTGACGGGACGACCAAGTCGTGTACTGGTGGTAAGCGACACGCCTGACAATAGCAGTGGCACCGCCACTGCGCCCGTCGCCCTGAGACATTAAGTTGACAAGTCTCATGTGCCTGTGATCACCAACACCCTAACCCTTCAAGACCAGAACGCAGTAATGCCCACACTACCGCTTGGCGGTAGAAATAGGTATGGTGGTAGTACTTCACTGGACGAACTCTTTCACAAGGATTTTTATTGTAACTAAGCTTCCAAAAATCTAAACCCAAATTGATTATTGTACGTCAAATCATAATTGTTGGTTTATTTGAAAAAAATATATATACGCGATTTAGATCCCAAAAAAGTAGTTTCATTTCCAATGTTCGCAATTATTAGGGGGAAAGTTGTGTGTGGTGCGAAAGTTGTCATTAGTCAAACTGAATACATTAATTATAATATTGTTTGAAACAGTTGTAAATCGATATATATATACAATTCAACAACATAATCATCTAAACATTGAACAATAGAGCTGAAGACAGCGAACCCGCAAATGATTGTTTACACTGCGTTAAACTAAATACTAGTTAAGAT